TGTAAGCTGCTATTACTGTCAACATTATTGTTATTAACACCAATAATAACTTAATGCCTGTTATTATTTATTTGATTGTGATCTAAGAAGACCCCACAAACTCATGCCATTGCTATTTGTGTCGCAATATATTCCACTGTAAAACCCAGAACACCACACTGACGCGCTGACGATTCCTGACGAGGAGATAATCAAGCTGACTCTGCTGTCTTTTGCCACAGACCTGATCCCTCTTCTCTTAGCTCCTTGCAATAACCGTGGCTCTCCATATACTTCTTATTAAGTTTATTAAAACCAGTCAAACCCTACTTTTTACAGCCGAGCACTGCTCGCCCATTCATTATGGTTTCTTATCTTGGCAGGCAATCTGAAGTGAAAGGCTAGTCCATTATGTACATATGAAGCCCATCACTCCTCCAGTATTGGCCAATTCATCAAACATTTATCTTTTGCCCTCTGAACAGCACGTCAATTTGCCTGTCACTCCCAAGCCTCTGCTGCTTTATTGGAATAAAAACATTACTTTTTCACATTGCAGTTGGTTGGAGGCCCGTCTTTGATGTGACACTACCCCTCAAACTTTAAAACAAGGCCTGAGGTTATACCCATTTTTCAAGTTTTAGAGAGAGGAGTTGAAAATGTATTCTTTTCTGCTGCTCATTTTAAGCCGACAAAGAAAAGCTCATTTATTATTTAAAGGCTATAGATTTATTGCAGTATGTCTTAGAGAAACCTATATTTTATGTATGCCAGTTGTTAGTTACTTCTTAAGGGTGATCCTGTGATACATGCAACCTCACGATTGCCAGACAAGGGGAGTAGCAGAGGGGAAAAGTCATTTGCTTTATGAAGGAGAGGGCAACCATCACATAGTAATATTTCTGTTCTGGGACTTCAGTTCCCACAATCTGTTGCAGAAACATTGCAGGCTCTTAGGAGCAGAGGATATGAAAAAGACAACTATCAAAGTATCATCAGAACACAACTGTCAGAACAGAGATGAGGATTCAAAGGATCTGTAAGAACATAAAGGAAAGATCGGCTTTTAGGGGTTATTGGCTCAGAGGAAAAACCGCAGCAAATGTGCAGAAGAATTAAGGGTGATGTTAAAGGAAAATACCAAAGGGATGAAAATAAAATAAAAAGGAGGGCGTTGTAGGAAAGAATTTTGATTTATGGGGCCACAGAGAGAACACAGAGCGAGTGTCTGGGGAATGTGCTTTCTTCTGTGAAAAGAACAAAAAAATGAATTTTCCAAGATAATTGTTTTTAAGGGCGCTGTCTCTGAAGTGCTCTTTGTTTGTTTTTATTCATAATATTTCCAAATCCTCTGATTTTGATGTACTTCATAGCAGTTGGCAAGTGTAGCAGATAGAACACTTCTGATTCATATAATAAGTAAAGGGAAGCCTCACTAACATCAATGCCTCGTTCTCTGCATAGATTTAGTTTTCTAGGAAGAGAGGAAACATTCTCTTCAGCCTTTGAACCCCATACCCAAGTGTCTGCCTGTTAGGGGGGGGGTGGGGGTGGAGTGAGCAATGGAAAGAGCTCCTTAAAGGTCAAGTGTTGTCACAAACAAGAGTTTGCTTAATTTTGGAAGTCACAGAAGATCCCTTTGTTAAGAACGGCTAATGGAATCCTTCTTGACACGTCTGTAGAGAAAATGTTTCAGTCTGTCTCACAAAAGTCTCACAGGCCGACTTATTTACCTCTTGGTCACAGGTTGAAGACATCTGACCTGAAATGCATGCAAACTAATGGCTCAAGTGACTGACATTTCAACCAATAACCCCAAAGTGTTTGTCCGTTGTCAGCAGGAGTTTATCAATCAGCATGTCTACATGAGCATTTGTCTATCGATCCATCTGTCTCTGTCCATCCAGCTCTTTGTCATTGTCTGTACGTCTGTTGTTTTTATTTGTTTTAAAAAAAGGGCCTGCAGAATTCACTTCTATAAGACACTCCTTTTAAAAAGTGATTTTTTAAAAAATGGCATCATTATGAGGTGTGATTTAAAATTTCCTTTGAAAGTGTTAAACTCAGCATACATTAGCTGTAGTATGCTTGTTGATGAAACTGAGGAATTAAGGCTGAACTCTCACACCTTTTAGAGGTTGTTCATGATACGTGATTGTCTTTTGGGGAAGGTACTGTACATAGAGGAGGGATACCCTTTAAATAGAAGTGGCCTAAAAATATTTCTTTTGTGCAGAAAAAAAATAACAAGGTACATTTCGAGATTGCACCTGGACATTTTTCAGCTTTATTTTTTATCCACTTTTCAGCTTAACCCTGACACCATCTTAAATGTCGAATAGGTTTATTTACATTTTTTTAAGCATCACGAGCTTAAACCTACACTCAAATCATACTTGATACACAAGAAACCGAGCTGAAAGGCAGTGCGTGTGTATCGACAAATAGCAGCCTCGGCCGTGCTGTCGTTAAAATAAATAGAACGATCACCCATAAAAAAACCCCCAGAGTTCCCTATAGTTTTTTAGTGAATGTAGAAAAGGCACAGTGGTTTTGGTCCTTGAAAGAAGTGGAAGCAACGACGAGGGATGTCCGAGAAAGACAGGTGGAGGAAATGAAAGGAGAAGGGAGTCCGAGTGTCTCGTGGAAGGATCAGTCCACATCAGCTCTTCTCATCTCTGGTGTCTGCTGCGCCATGGCAGGGGGAGGCCTGTGCCTCCTGCTTATTTTTCTGCTCACTGTTTTGGTAAGCTAATGAGGGGTGCCGTGTGAGCCACAGGCAAAGATGTGGCAATATTAGTTGTGACAGGGAGCTTGATCATAATTATCTTAACAAGGATAGGGTTAATTACACTGGAAAGTTAAAGTTCTTTCCGTTCGAATCAGACAGAGGCGAATGCGTTGTGATATTTTGCCGTCGTGATGTGACCGTGGAAATTGCAATGCGGATCTCGGGACTGTAGCAGGGCTCCTCTGGGAAGCCGGTGTGAGTGCTAGAGTGAGGTAACAGATCCTACCTGTGGGCTGAGATAATGGGCAGCTCTCGGGTCATTAGAGCTGTGGGAGAAAGCAGCATGCACACAAAGCTCAATGATGCTTATTAGCTTTCTCAAAAACAAGGCAAGACAGCTGCTGGTATTGACATTGTCCTTCTAATCCCAATGACTGCAGAACCAATAAGGAAACTCGAACCAACATACCCATCTGTATCTCTCTGCCTCTGTCTGTTAGGCACGTTTCTTTCTCGTTCTCTGTAATCAGTTTATCTATCTGTGTAAATTATACACATATGAGTGTGTATATACAGTATATGAGTGCATATTTTCTGTGAAATTTAATCTTATTTCTTTAAAAAATCTTCAAATAGTGGTTAAGCAATAACACACAATTCAGCATTAATGAAGGTTTGGCATGCAGGCAGCAAAATATTAATGTTAATCATCAACACCTTCTATTAGATATGATCCCATCCCTCTCCCTTGGCTATGAATTTAGCTGATTAAATCACCAAGTGCACACCGCAGTGGTGACATGAAAACAACAATTAATAAGCAACCCCCTGTGCAATGCAGCTCCCTTTTAACCGAGCAGCTAATAACATTACATGGCAAAAAAATATCAAAATCAGACAGGTGTAAAGGGATTTGGGCACAATTTTATTTGCTTGCTTGGGAAGTGAGTGTTATTGTGCTGCGTCTCAGTTTCAGAGAGAAAGAGAGCAGTTTCAATAGGCAACTCCCTCTAGTGTTCCAAGGCCTTTGTCTCACTTCATGCCTTGTCATTATGTTTCATGCCTTCCCTGAAGCGGTTTTTGGAGTTGGGCTTTCTTCTCAGTCCTAGTTGCCAACCATTTGCAGATCCACTCGATAAAAGTATTATATTTACATAACATAACTCAGGACAATGTGTATTATGGTGCTGACATTGACCAGAGCACAGACTGCATTTGTTCACAAGAGGCCTATCAGTGTCCCATAAGGTTATATTTGCATATCTGGGAGGTGCCTTCTTCTCGGCTCCTTCAGCATGTGCAAAAATATGTTTTGATCTCAATATTCCATGCAATCTTGTTTACAACAACCTTTCTTAAAAATTTTAGAAAGAAAACAAATTGTGTATTAAAACGTTTTAGGCATCTTTTTGTAATCACTGGGTCGTTTTGCATTTTGGGAAAACTTTGCTGCTGATTGTTCTGTTTTTAAAATAATCCTGTCTGCAGTATTAAAAATGCCACATGCATTTTTACAAACGGGAGAGCAGCACATAGGCTTCAGCTACCTTTCAGCTAAATAAGACACTTCATTTTCATCGGGGGCTGACAGTTTTAAAAGTCATAGGACATTATCATAGGCTGCCAGTCATTGCTGTTGGAGGGATTAGGGAACAAATGTTATGGCCCCGTGCACCTTCCACTACTTGAACTTCACTTGGGCCCCAGCGCTGAAAAAGCCTCAACCGTGATTATGCACCGAGAGCTATATTAGAGTAAGGGGAAAGTTATTTTAAAAATAGATTAAAGATTATATTACAGCGGTCCGTCTCCAAACCCAGTGGGGCCTTTTGCAGAATTGTCCTAAAAAGTTATACCCATTACCTTTTGGTGGAATATTACAGTTCTGTGCAGCTGTGATGGATGACAACTTAAATTTGTGTCCAGGGAGTGAAGGTGAACTGTGACAGAGTTATTTATCTTGGGAATGGAGGTTAGGGTCAGGCAAAGCTGGGTGCCTCAAGGCACAAGACATTGACAAATTCATCCTGCAGACCCCATTTCTGAAGCCTTTTGTTTTGAATCCTGGCTACTCACTAACTGACCCTCATCCCTCATCCTGCCAGCGCGTGAAGGATGCCGTGCCGTGCCAGGGATCTCACTGCCACTAATTCTTGTCATTCACCCCTTTGACGGGACCAAACCTAAACTATTCCAGCTCCTGAAAGAGAGGTTGAAATATTTATTTCTCTACATAATAGCCTCCTTGATTTAGTGCCGTATCATTTTTCCTGTTGCCTTATCATTGCAGGTCACTGGAGGGGCTGAAAGCATTCACCGAGTTGGAAGAGCTGATTGTGGACAACAACCTCCTCGGAAATGACCTCTGGTTACCCAGGTTACCTCGCCTCCATACCCTAACACTCAATAAGAACCAAATATCCTTTCAAAGGGGAGTTCAATGCCTTTTATTTTGTCACATTTACTTTAAAGGCTAGTTTATTAAACACGTTACATGGCTTATGAGCAGCTGTGCTTTTTTCTTTTGTCGTGGTCTCAGCTGTATGGAAGGTCAGTTATTTTAGTAGAGATTATACTTTACTTTACAGCTGAAAAATATTTGATCTTATTTTTGGGGAAGATGACTAGGTTTTGTGCCAGGGTGCCCTCTAGTGGAGCAATGGCAATGAAGAAAAAGGAATATTTCTGTGCTGCAGAAGAAATGGAGATTGGAATTTTGTAGAGCGTCAACAAATGTGAATAAAAACATCATAATATGTAGCATTTTATCCTTCGTATACAAATAGCATGCATTCATTTTAGATGTGATTGAAGCTTTATGAAAACACTTTACTTGCAGACATGAAGGGTATCTTTTAGTTTATGTACTGTAATTGTATTTTATAATTATTTACAGTAGTCTTTACAGTATCGGGGTGTAACAGTTCTTGTATTTAGCTTTTGCTTGTTAAGCAACTAATTTTTCCTCACTGCATTTTTCGAAAGGATTTCCTGATTTGTGTGAGTATTGGCACTAGCAAATCTGTGTTACTATTGCAAAATCAGCAGTAATGTAAACAAAATGTATTAAGGGAATTTTATTGCAGTCTGATCATTTCTGCGTAATTTTTTCTTTGGGGAGAAAAAAAAGAACATATGAAACCATGATAAAAAGGGATTAACTGTGTCTTTTCACATTTTTCAAAATTAAATGTTAGTATATTAAGTGCATTATGAAGGATGCCTCGATAAAAAATAAAAAAACAAGTACATTGGGCATTATTATTTATGTGAAAATCCGTTAGTCAAAAACTGCTCTAACCCATGCCTCCAGAATATGTCTGTCCATGTAGTTAATCAACAGACAAGCACTAAGGTTCTCTTTCAGCAAAAAATAGTGGTTCTGTGAAGCTAATGTCACAGCCTCAGAACAGAATTTAGTTCTGAAGTGGCCTGCACATGCTAATGGGGTAATTATTTATGTCTTACAGTGACACAGAGGCATTTATATTCAAGTGGTGCATTAGTGCTGTTGTATTTTGACACTTTAGGCTCATTTTCCAATGAAGAGAATGTATTAGTGATGAATGTGCTGTGAAGTAGCTGTTTGTTTCCACGTTGGAAAAGTTTCATGGCTCCAGCAATCGCTAACCATTTTACCACACGGCATCCATCATTTTGTCAATGTTTTAATGTTCTGCACCAAGCCACCTAGGAAATGAAGAAAGAAACAAGGGACAAAACAGCTGAATTCTTTCAGTATATGCCAGAATCTGAGACTCGAATTTACCCCTGGTTTGCTGTCTGCACAATAACTCTTGACAGGCTTTTGAATGCCGTAGTAAATTTAATTGTAAGTTTTCAGAAGTATGCTTTATACCAATAGACATTGCTCCGTAAATGCTTTTTTAATTAAAGACGTTGAATCCTTAACCCTTTGCCCTTTGACACATAACCGATATAGAATCCCTGCTGGACCACTTGGCCGAAGTGACACCTTCTCTGGAGTATCTCAGTTTGTTAGGCAATGAAGCCTGTCCCAATGAACTTGTCAGCCTGGATAAGGATGAAGACGATTACCAGCGATATAGGTTAGCAAGACAGCGTTACAAAACTGCTTTCATTTATTCCTTTATTTGGTTATGTGTTTATTTTTGCCTTACCTTTGTTGGATTAAAAAAACAAAAAACAAACCTAAAACACCGTTTTCATTAATTACAGCTGAGCTCGGCTAAGCTCATCTGAAAAAAACAGATGGGACAAAGCACATGACAAAAATCAACCGCTTGAAGTAGGACATAAAAGCAATCTTAAAAGTCCACTTGTTTTAAATATAAGAGTTTTAACAACATTACTTTGTGAGCGGTGCTTACATCCTGAAAAGGAATTGTCACTTGTTTTGGGATGTTGCTTTTTCTCCTTCATGGTCTTCCTGCCACACAGTACAATCTTTGTGTGAATCACAAGGTTGCTTCCCACAATTTCTGCATTTTATTAGTATTCTGAAGGGGTGAGAAAAAGGGGACAGAAGTGTAAATAAGCCTTGTTCTATTTGCAAAAGATTTTTCTGGAGAAATTGTATAATATATGGGACATAATGAATTGCATTCTTAAGTAAAATTACATATCTCCAACAGTTTTTGAACTGAAGTAGCATAGCATTATTGCCATAATATTCCTCCATTAAACATGTTGCAAAAATTGGTGTCATTATGTTTTTCAGCTTCCATTACACTGTTCTGAATCTTAGTTTGCAAATCGATTTCATGTCTGAATTGTCATTAACATAAACGGCAGTATTTTATCCAGCCTTATGGTAAAGGATGATATATTAATCAGGCTTTCAAACAATTCCTGATGGAAGCAAGCTTCTAACACACTGTGCAATAACAATTTGTCAAGTTTTCAGCAAGAAACACGTTAAAAAGAAATATATACTTTCGGTTTACTGTTTTCTCTCTAAGTGCATTTTCTGACAATGTGTGCCGTATTAATCATTTACCACGCAGAAATGCCGTAAAGGAGCCTTTCACTTGCAGAAGTCCATGCTTCATTTAGTGCTGACGATAGACATTCCATTTTGATTGACATTTTCTGTGGTTATGTGATGTAATATTTATGATGTGTCACAAAGCCGTACATCAAAATGAGCATGGCGTTGTTTCATTTTAATGTGGATTTTATATCTGTCAACATTAGGCCACTTGTAGGTCACTGTAGAACTTGCCTTAAAATACAGTGAAAACAAGAAAACAAATGTAAATCAATATCTTGGTTATTTGAATGTTTTTTTTTTGAAAATTATGAGGGAATGAGTTACTTCTAAAAGAAGCAGATTAACGGTACATTGTATTGAACTACTTCCTTTATCTGCTCTTCAACTGTTTCAAATTTTACATAAAAAGTCAAGAATCAAGTCAAGTTTAGTTATTACTAACACAAAAAAGCAATGTATTAGCTAATAAAAAATATGTAAAGTGACTGGAACTTTTATTGTTATTTTATTAATTTTATTTTTAAATTTGTAAATTATGTGGATCTCCTTCAAGACTGTGTATTCTGCTCCTTCAGGAATTCTGAGATGGCATTGTAGAAGTAGTATCTATGTTTCTACAGTTGGGTGAGAGCTGATGCAGTCTTTCAAAGCTACTTTAAAATAGTCTAATTACTGGAAGATCAAAGGTAAACTGATGCTTTTCCTACAGGATCATTTTACAACATCTGCATCATTTACCAAGTGGGTCTGACACATGAAACATTGCAAAATATTTTTAAAACGCATGCGACACAGAACTTTCATCAAAAGAAACTCAGCACTCTATTTTATTTTATACATTTTTATAAAAAGAAAATGAGCATATTTATGATATGTATGAAATTGATCGTTCTATGACTTTGACTCTTTTATAAGCACTCAATGACATCATTAGTGACAGAGAAGTGATGAGGTAATTTAACCTGTTGCATGTCAAGCCTGATTAAAAGAAAGAAAGATTAACACACTAAACAATATGCTTATCATGAGCACAACACTTTCATGCCATCAGTATTATGGAGGCTGGACAGTGCACTGTACAGACAAGTCAGTGCACAGTTTCTCACCATATTGAGTCGTTAAGAGTCAGCAATTTCTAACTTGGCAAGATGTCACAGCCAAACAATCTTTTATGTCTCTTAAGTATGGTGTGGGAGTCCATGAGATATGAGTTCTCATCAAGATCAATGGAGAGGACCAGTTGTGGTGGCCTGGTCAGGAGTGTCTATTTACTACAGAGCAACACCTGTAGTAATTGATGGCAGCCTGACTGTAAGGTGCTACACTGATCAAGTCCTGGGACCCCACTTGCTGCCCTTCCTGTTGGCTCATTCGGATGTAACAGCATTCCAGGAGGACAGCACACAGCCTCCCTCATGCTGTTTGTGTTACAACAGCTTTTTGAGGGACAAGAACATCACCGTTATGCTGTCGATGCCTCGCTTGCCAGACTTGAGCTCCATCAAACATCCGTGAGATGTATTGGAATGAGCTGTGTAGCATCTAGGGCTCAGAGACCAGAGATTAGGCACTTGCTTCTTTAGGCTATTTGAGAGTAATGGGACAGAATCCTATAAGACAGCAACAGCAAGTTATGCTGCATCCAGTGGTGGCCAGACACATTGAAATCATAGACTCGTCAGTGAACATGGTACAACACTGTGAATTTGTTGCAGTTGTAAGTGATCAGCTCCTGTTAATACTTCGTATATCAGTCTATAAACATTATGCAGCTTTTGGGTATCAGGGCCGGATTTTGGTGTTCATAGGCCCTAGGCACTTTCACTCCGAAATGTGCAAAAAGTGGGGTAAATGCCAATTGAATTACTCGTCGATTGACATGATGCACTTCAAACTATTCTAATGCTAGACCACATGATTCATGGAGCGAGTTGAGCGACCATCACTTCGATACTTCTAGTTTCTAGAACAGCCGGTAGATACAGTAACATATGATTATTGATTTGGAACACCTAGCGACGATTGCAAGCAGCTTGTTTTTTGTTAGTCACTAGTGTTTCCCTCCTTCATAGGCCCTAAACATTTCATATGCCCTAGGCACTATGCCTACAGTGCCTAATGGGAAATCTGGTATTGTGGGATATATGAATGTTAATTAGCCATGTACCATGCTGATGAACCCTAATAAGGGTGACACAGCCCTTCGTGTTTGCATGTCTTGACTTATTAAGAATTAGAAGACTCATTAAATGTTTGTTAAATGTTAAATGTAAATTAAATGTTTCTAGAAAGAGCTTTGTGAAACAGTCACGGCTAATTATCTATGTCTGTTAGTCTTTCTATAAACTTAATAATGGATACTATAAAAGCACTCATCATTTGTGTGAACAGTAGTGGCTCAGTCTTATTTAGGGAACTTAAACAAGTTCAGTAAAGGTAAAATGGCAATTGTCCGCAGTGGAGTAACCGACACACGAACCCAGATACATTCCGCTGTGGTTGTTCTGGACACAGGGAAGGCATGTATGTGAAACCACATATTTCTCTGTGTGCCATTAGATAAAGTAGCTAGTTTGTGGCATGACAGCAGCCCCCTGTCTTCCAAAATTACTTACCTGGGAGCAACATTCTTGATATTACCTGTTGACAGTTTCAATGCATTTTCACCCTTTTGTTTTCCTTTACCCCCATCACAGATAGATTGAACCATTAATATCTCTGAAAGGCTGACAGAGGCCTGTCATCTTGGTCTAGCCAAGTGCTATCAGGTTATCTATGGAAGGTGGCCTCTTAACATTGCTATCAGTCCAGACTTGTGTCTTAAGCTATTTTCAGATTTTAGTATAGAAATGCTCTCAGTGCTTACAGAGTAACCTTAGTAAAAAGACATTACAAAGGGTTATCAATAATCTGAATATTTGCTATGGATTTGCCAGAATAACCGTTGTTTTTGGCTGAAACAAATTATTTAAAAAAAAATCCTAACAAGACAGAAATGTTTTGAAAATACTGTCAATTCAAAAAGTATCTGATGGTTTCAAAGAGTAACTATCCTGCTAGACATCTTTTTTGTATATTTTAGGTTGTACTGTAATGTTGATGCTGAGGTTGCAGATTCTTACATTTTAAATATTTGTCCAAGTCTTTCATGTAAATGATGTCATTATAGTGTCAAATATGAGGAAACAAGTGTTTAAGATAAAAAAATGTAGACATTTCTTGTAGTGCTTTGTTCCTTCTTCAAGGTATTTTCTCTAGGTTTTCATCAGTCAAGGAAGATGGTCTACTCTGCCGTAACAAGGACTGTATGATGTCAACTTTGTTCATTGTCATACAAGTTTGATGTTGTTACCTGTGATCTCTGAGTGTTGAAAACTCTGGACTGCCTTTGCTATCTGCCTTCATCATCTTCATCCTCATCAATTTGTCTTTCACTGCTGTGTAAAGGATCTGTTGATTTTTTCTCTGAGATGCTGTCTTCACCTATATATCTGTCTGTTCTCGCCCTCCACTTAGCTGGTGTCTCTATTTCTTTGAGTTTCAATGTTGACGTGCCAGTTCCTTCAATTCCTGCCTTCCTATGAAAGAATCTGTTGGCATCAATGTGTTTCTGCCATTATCTTATGACATTTTTTCTTCTCCTGGATTGAAAGATGCAGAGTGTCTGAAAGCTTTAAACATATTTTCTAATGTTACTTAGATGACAGCTTGGCAGAAGTAATCCATGTGGATATTTATTATTTTCTTCTTTATTTTTCCTGTTTACTTAGTGTTTTTTTTAAAGGTGATTATTTTTTAAAATGGACCAAGGGTGTTCCTCAGTAACGACCTGCTGGAATTAGCAGAGGGTATTTCCTGAAAGATAGCCTCATAGTAATCTGTTTTTTCTTTTCATAACATCTACTGTAGATCAAGTCGACATGATGTTAAGCGATTTCTGTGTGAAGCCTACTGTACATGATCTTCTTACTGTAGATAATAATAAAAAACGTTATTTTATATAGTGCCTTTAAAGGTGGCTTCCCAAAGCGCTTAATGTAGATGAGGTCAAACCAGGTAGCTAAGGTTGCGATAAAGTTATATACTAGAAATGCATGATTTCATTGATGAATATATTACCTAAATATAGGTCCAGAGTGAATTTAAACAAATCATATAGGTACAGGCCCAGTAGTTCCAGAACTATATATGTACAGTCATGTATGCTTGTGTGAGAGTGGCAGTTGTCCTCTGTGCTTTTTGTGAGATGGACAAACCTCTATAATAAATACTTTCTGATCTGCTAGATTCGCTTCACAGTTAGAAAGATTTTTTTTTCTATGCAAAAAAACAGGCCCTGGGCTTGTCGTTGACAGTTGGGTGCTGGGTTCAAGTTCTGGTTTGATCTTTCTTATGGTTCTTAAACTGGTTTGTTTCAGTTCTTTAAGCATGAGCAATGTCTCCCCACCCAGTGGTAATTTCTGTTGTTTATTGGTTTTATCTGGAAACTCAATGTAGGCACTGACGAATGCTTAGGATTACCCATCTTATAGAAGGTGTTCCAGGACCTTACAGGTTTCAGCAGACAAGAAAAAATATTGAGAATGTTTTTTTTTTAATTTCTTTGGCTGTGAACAAAACATAGCATTTGTCTTCTTGTGTCAAATTGAAAAGCTACTAACAATATTCTTTTTAGGTACTTTGTGCTGCACAAACTGCCTCATCTGAAGTTCCTGGACACCAGAAAAGTGACCAGACGGGAGCTAGAGGAAGCACAAGCTCGAGGCGCTTTTATGAAGGTGGTGAAGCCAGCATACAAGGAGGTAAGGCAATTTGAAGGAAAAAACTGCTCTCAGAATGATGGCTGTTTCTGGAACTTAATGGTCAGCATTCTTTCTTCTTATGTTGTTCTTCTGCAAGTTCTAGTGCTTATTCAAAAGTCTGAAAGAATATATAAAGAGACTCTGTTTGATAACGGAGCTGAAAAATACATCTAAGGTCCTTCTTTTTGTAGTCTTCTTTTTTTCAAGTAATTGCTGTTACACCCAGCAGAGCCAGAGCTCGCAGCCCTCAGTCTCCACGGCAACTGAGTGTTCGCACATGAGCCAAACAACTCTCGGTGCCATGAGAAATCGATTGAGGTGGCTGTCCGTGCCACCTGCCTCCTCCTAATGGGTAATAATCTCATCATCTCCAGGCTTCTTAAACCTTGCCTTGCCCATGGTCAGGCGCTCTGTCATTGAGCTTCCTACTGAATTAGAAAAGTACCCCCAGTGTTACCCAGTCCATTATAATATTTAGAATATTCTGCCTGAATCAGCCCGACTGCACGATCTCGGGATGAAACCACACAGCCAGGCGGTTTTCCATCTGCCCCTGCTCACTATGCCTTTACAGCAATCAACCAGACTTGTGGGACTGTGCAGCTTTCTTGTTCTACAGACCTGCTTGACCGTGTAGCTTTTCTGCTCTGCTCAGCTGTGCCGTACCTTCCCCTTTCCTTTTTCAGCTTGACTGCACTGTGCATCCCCTGTTTCGTCTGTCCTCTGTTTCCTGAACAGCATCCCGAGCTCCTGCCTCTCCACTAGCCTTTGCTGGGACTAAGCACTTTCCAGCTCAGTGCCATGTGGTAAAGATCGCTACACTGTTAATGCAGGTCATAATTTATCAAGGAGCTCTAGTGCCTTCTAGTTTATCGTATAGTAGAAAGTAAATGTTTTTCACACTTTCAAACTAATTTTAAAGGCACTAGAAGTCTCAAAGAAGTTTTTCAAAGAATTTTGCTTTGACACATTCATTGAAGTGAAAGTGTCTTATAAATTAAATCTCATTATAACATGCTCATAGGAGAGTAACCTCTAGGTTCTAGAAAATAAAAACTAAATCTGTCTTGTTTAATGTTATTAATGTTACGTAAACATATTGCAGTGAATTTTAGACACCCTGCTTTACTCTGTCACTCACATTAGAAACAAAATCATTTGTTTTGGTGTCAAAAGAATATAAGTGGTGCAAAGAGTGTCATTATTCTATTCTCAGAAATGAACAAAAACAAATCATTCCCCTAACCTTCTTGCTCTTTTATTGCCCCACTAATTTAGATGTGTGGTAATGCCACAGACGAGCAGTTACCATAATCTAATCCATCTTTTTTTCTTCTTGTCCTTCTTCTGCTTTGTTTATACGTGCCTTATTGTCAGAGCCCTTTACAAATCCCTAATCTGAGGTCCTTTGAAGAAATGATCCCGTAATGCTTGATCACCACATAAGGGAGTTTCTTTTTAATGATCAGATTCTGACCTCATGTCATATGCACAAGCCCAGATCAAAGTAGACGGCGCCTGTCCAGTTGGGGCTGTGTTGTTGAGCGTGACAGCACTTCACATCAGAGCGACAGCTCACGTATACAACAGTCAGAGTTGCTTAATTATGCTCTGGCCTTATAATTATTCCTCTGTGCTTTTTTGTGAGGCTCACAATCCCTTATAATAAATACCTTCTGATCTGCTGGATTTGCAGTTGGAAAGATTTTGTTGGAAGAATTGATTTTATGCTATTGGATAGTACTAAAGTATTTATCATTTCTATCAACCAGAGCCAGTCTTTTCACTGTCACAGGAGTCATAAATTTGGGCTATGAAGTGAGGAGATCACTTATATTTGATTTGACTGAGTTATACATCTTGATGTAGTAAATGTATGTCAAAAGATGCCTGACTAAGAATTTACAAATGGAAAATGCATGTGGTTTTAACAACATCTTTCAGAATTATTATTTATATTTTTAGTTGTTAAGTTTCTTAGAGTCATCACAAGACACTCTGGCTCTTTTTAATGCTTTACCTAAAAATTAGCAAATAATAAATGAATAAAACAATAACACTTCAGGACTTCTCTTTATGATATTGTTTAGGGATTATTCTTAGCATATATTTTATAAGAAATAATATATTTTGGGGCACGGTTAATTTTGTATTATATTTTTTTGTCACTGATTTTCTGCGATTTAAGATCTCCGTGGTGCGTAGCTCAGGGCTGATAAAGTCTTACTTTAGACTGCCATGCATTTATATTATTTAACATAATTGTGATTGCTAATAAGACCGTGCTAAGCTGCCACAAACTGTAATGGTTAGATTTAATAGCCAGACTCTTATTGTGCTGATTATTAAAAGTTGTAGAAGAGCTTGAAGCTCTGAGCACTTAGCCTTCTAACACCTGGGTTAGCTATGAAGTCCTATGTGTTGCACTCCACTTCCCAGCTGAACAGCTCTGAATTTAAAGAAAGTGTAGCATTCGAAGCTCACTGACTTACAGGCTCCCATGATGCTGAGCAGTACAGGTAATGGTTCTTAACTTTTAATTAAGAGTTGTCGAGAAGGCTTAATTTGACTTGATTAAATTAATACGAGGTACTATTCATGCACGAAAACATTTTTTTTTTCAAAAGCTGGAAATTTTGAACATTGTTCTATTTAAATACATAATTTTGAGACTATTGTATTTGTGATTCATATGTGAACCTAGATTTTTTTCTTATTAAATAAACATTACTTGTTACATATTATTATTAAAAGATGCAGATGAAAATGTTTAAAGTTTAATAGTTAAATGTTTACCCATTATCTGTTCTGTATGGGAAATACTTTAAAAAGTATAGTTTTTTTCTTTTGTCTGTTACTATAAACATCATAATTGTTGTTGAAAGAAAAAAAATGCAGTTTATAAACCGTGGCAAACAGATTTTTTATTCTATCTTTTTATTTGTGAAAGTGAAGTGTGTTCTGAAAAAAAAGAAAATGGATCATTTTTAAATTAAAACAAACTGGGAGTAGAACTTCCATAGAAGGGGCATGATGCTTAATTATAAATTAGCATTATTCCTGCAGCAGAAGATTTACTGTGTCTTTCATGAAGTAGACTCTCCAGTAACACAAACAACACGGACTTCGTAATCGTGTTTGGGAATCGAGATTGTCTCCAAGAAAAAAGTTATTGTAACCTAAAATATACAACACTTAAAAAGTTTACAATGAAAAATTACAGGCTTCAATTCTTAGAACACAAATGTTGACAACAAAGACCAAATGAGGGACTTGGCCAGCATAGTGATATATACCGTATATATAAAATAAGCAAAGAGGATAATAAATTTTAATGAATATTGAAGAGACAACTGTATATGATGTTTTTCTGTGAGATGAATCTTTTGTTTCTGATTACAGAGTAAAGCCTGGATTAAGAGTGTTTTATGATGAGAAAACTTAACTTGTATTTAAGAATGACTGGGTATGATTGTGCCTATGTTTTTATGAAGCTAAAATATATCGAGACCTGCTTTTGTAAATGTCTCCTATATATATTCCACATATTTCCTCATAGGAGAAACTGTTGAAGCAATGGTCATAGACCTAAAGTGAAGGAGAATCGGCATCAGCATTTGATTAGTCAAAATGAAAGCCAAAGATCAATGATATAGCAAGCCGATATAGTAAAGTCCTTTGTTGAATGATATTAAGAAATCTAATCCATTATAATGCAGAATCCTCCATGATCTGTGTAAAATTAAACTTCGGGAGTGAAGAGAACCTTGTGCCATGGTGAAGCAATAGACGGATCTTGCTGGGAACATATGTGGTTTGAAAAAGGGTAGGAGTAACAGCAGACCAGTCTCAAACATCCTGCGTGTGTTCAGCAGCACTGTCATGAACGAATTTACATACTGTTTGTTTTGAGGTTGATAAGAGCTGATATGGCAGCCATAACAAGCTCTGCAGGGCATGTGTACACTCTGTCCTTAATTGCCTTCATCATCATCATCCCAACAGTCTGCTGGCCAATAGAGCAGGTCACCAATTAATGGGGACTGCAGACAAACCCATGAGGAATGTGGGCACTGGAGACGATGGCATAATTAGATATTTGTGTTTGCTTTCATGTTTTGTTCAGTAGGGTGTCCTACACTAAAAGACAGGGTGCCAATAATAATGTTACAACACAAAGTAATTAGCACCCTTCTTGTTTCTTTTGCTAAGTTTCCCACATAGTGACAGCCTTAGTAATTGAACAAAACTCATTTAAGTGTTCAGTGGAATCCCTCTAAATATTTCTCAAAAACTGCAAGAGCTTAGATTCACTAAGCCCAGGGCTTAATTTAAAACAAAATGAAGGTTGATTTTGGTGTTGTGTTATTGTCTTGATGTCCTGAGGCAGCAGAGTTGTACATTTTTCACATAATTATTTTTAATTAATGCACATGTTTATGGCTTTTTACCAGCTCTTCTGGCTTTGTGGGAACTTAAAGTATTTTAAGAATAGTAATGCAGGTGGGCATAGGAGTATTAATCTCGGCAAAATGCACATCTTATCCAAAATGTATTGAATGGCTGCTGATTGGCTTGTAAGAAGATATTTGTTTTAATTCTAAAAGTTGAAAGCATTTGTTGTAGCTTCTCAACATTATCACATAATTATCATAATTTACATACACCGTTTAATTCAACCTACCTTTTACTGTAGGTATCCATGCACATAGAATTCTGTATTTACTTAGTGTTGACCTCTAAAACATGAGCAAGCATAGCTCAAACCAGGAGCCCCAATCCTATATGAAGCTGGGGTTGTAGAGTGGGACACGTCACACAGCGTATGGGATTGCTTAGAACCTTATCTTGCCCTCAGAGGAAGCATACATTTAGAACTTCAAACAGCATTACATTGAAAACAAGCAACACTTATGTGAGAGTCTGTTTTCTGTTTGCAACGTGTGACCAAAACCACCATTTTTTTTTCCACAAAACTCACAAAAGGATTACCATTAATG